AAGGAACCAACCCAGGCCGGGGGGGGGGGGCTGGCCCAAGGCCACCCAATGAGCTTCAGTGCTCTCTGCAATGATGAGAGTGAATTAAAGGGCCTCAAGGCTCGTACCGAACCATTCTGTTCAAAAAATGCTGGGGGGTGGGACTGGACAGGGGAGCACAGCTTCCAGCAGCATTTCCTCTCCGGTACCTAGATCAGTGAATTCTAAGCTCCAAAACTATGAGACTCACCCCAGGGAGGGGTATCAACGGCTCTTCTTTCCTCCATTTCTCTGCCCACTGAGGTACATCAAGGCTGAGAGGACCTGGTTGCTCCAAGATCACCCAGGAAACTGCACGACCAAGCAGGGATAACGCTGATCATAGAATCATAGAATGTTAAGAGTTGGAAGGGACCTAGCAGGTCTCTCTTGTCCAACCCCCTGCACTCTGCAGGCGCATAGCCGAAAGATAGCCCTACAACAGACCCGAAAGATGGTCGCCCAGCCTCCGCTTGAGAATGTCCAGCGAAGGAGCATCCACCACCTCCCGAGGCAGACTGTTCCACTGCTCAACCACTCTTACAGTTAGGAAGTTTCTCCTGATATTTAGCTGGCAACGACTCCCTGGTAATTTCCAAAATGTGCAAATAATCTTGAAATACATGTGTACATTTTATGGGGGAAAATGGGGTGTGAGAAAACAGAAAACACCATGAACAGACAGAATCAACGTTTCAGTTCACACAAGGGGTAAATAAAATCAAAATGGGGAGTAGGGGCCTGCAATACCAGGAATGAGAGATTTATTTATTTATTTATTTGATTTCTAGCCCACCCTCCCCTACATAGCAAGGCTCAGGGCAGGTTACAGCAATATAGTAAACACTACGATATCATAGATAAAACATAAATATAACAATCATTTAAACCCAAGTATAAACATCAATAACACTAATCAAATAACACTCAAATTAGAAATCGTTCTCATCTCAGCGGTCCAACACACAGATTCCTGGAAGTCGTAACACCGTAGAAGAGTGGTACTCACTCCGTGGCTCTTTCACATGCCCCCTGCAGCTCTTCTGAGATCAGATGTCGTGTTTGCTGTGCACCTCTGATGGTTTGTCAGAAGTGACCCAGGACCTACAGGCTAGAGTTAAAACCACAGAGCAAAACTCTTCAAGAGCCAGAGGGCACTAGAAAGAGGTGGTAAAAGAGAGGACAATCGGGGCAGGCAGGAGAGAGGACTTGTCTGCCAAGAGAGGGGAGAGAAATTTTTTATTGCATGGGTGAAGGGGTGGGATGGTGCCAAGGAACATGGCAGTCATGTGGCAACAGTGAACATGGCTCTCCGTGGGCCATGGAGTGAGCACCATTGTCATAGACTATGACAAGCAAAACACTAACATATCGTCTTCTTTACAGAGCTGCATCTGACAAGCACCAGCCAGTCAAAACTAGGAGCCAGGACCCAATGACCATCTACTTCACCAGTGGCACCACAGGCTACCCCAAAATGGTGGAACATTCGTGTTGCAGTCTTGGCCTGGGGCTGGTACCAGCTGGAAGGTATATCTTTCCATTTCCAGAGAGGGAGCCCCGGTGGGGGTGTTGCAGTCTGTTCAAGAGCAAAGGATCGATTGTGGCATGAGAATTTGTGGGGTGATGCTCAGACTCTGAACCTTGAGCACAGCACAAAACAGGGAACGGCTCTGGTTCTGGACCTTGCTGCTCAGTTGCATCAGGGTTGAGGAGCCTGCTGGATTTCCTAATCAGGACTCATCTTTCAGCTAAAAATGTGACCGAAAGCTAAAGAGACAGAGAGGAGCATTTGCAGGTGTTGTGGAGCAGGGGCATCTAAATTATGGCCCACCAGCCTATGGAACCTTCTCATCTAGCATGCAAGACATTTTTTTTAATAAATGAGATCAAAATGAGATCAAGCTAAGGTCCATGACCCCAGTGGCAATCCCATAAGTAACTGCAGGCATGCCAAAGGCATGTGAAGCCATACGAACCCAGATGCCTGTCAGAACCCACAGCTCACAACGAAGTACACACATTCAGGAACGGTTATACTTTTATTGCAAAGCTATAGATGCAGTAACACAGGCACTGTTAAGAATGGCGGCAACCCATTGAGCATAATAGGATATAGGGCATTCGTATACCCCTCCCCCCACACACACGGCATGGGCCAATTAGCTACCCTCCCGCGTGCGGAACCAGCTAGGAAACCGTTAGGTGACGAAAGCTGGGAAGCAGGAGTCTCTCACGGTACATAGGAGACTTCCAGACAAAACATCCTCCTGCACATCTGTAGAGATAAGCATTGCGGCACAGGCAGAACAGCAGAGATAGGAATGCAATAGCAATTACCAAGACACAGAATGAACTCCCCAACCCCCATGGCAGCATAGCTGACTATGGCCCATCACTAAATGGGAGATTAGCCCCCTTTGCAGGGCCTACAGCACTGGGGGCATGGATGGCATACCAATGGAGTAGGCCCCGGGCCTGTCCTGACCTGGATGGCCCTGTCAAGCAATATCCCGTCATACCTCAAAAGCCGAGCAGGGTCAGCCCTTGTTAGGACTCGGATGGGAGACCACCAAAGAAGGTCAGGGTTGCTACGCAGAGGCAGACAACGGCAAACCACCTCTGAAAGCTCTACGGGGGTCGCCAGAAGTTGGCTACGCCTTGATGACACTTTTCACCACCACCAGACCCCGAGCCTGCCTGGCCCACCAAATGCTTTATGGCAATGTGGCCCTTGGGTCAAAAAGTTTGGATGCCCCTTTCGTAGAAGCTGTTTTCCCATAGGAACTGCATTCCTTTAAGGCAACTTGACTGCTGCAATCGTTCATTCAACTACCACCACTCAGGGGCAAGTTTAAAAGCTTGCCGACAAAGCATGTTTTTTCTGCTTCATTATTAACAGGTACTGGATGGGCCTGAATCCTGAGAGTATGATATGGGGTCTGTCTGATACCGGCTGGATCAAGTTTATCTTTGGCAGTGTGTTTGCTCCTTGGACTCAAGGGGCCTGCGTCTTTGCTCACGGCAAGCTGCAGTTTGAGCCAACAACCGTTCTAAAAGTAAGAATATCCTCATCTTCTCTGTTTGGTATTGAGCAGTCAAACAGCAAAACACAGGCTGGGACCTTCACCACCACCATTTCTATTTGCAAAAGAAAGGGAACGGCCCTTGGACACTTACCGTGAGGGGTCCTTCTCCTCTGAGGACAGGAGGACATCTCCATTGGGTTATTCCCATCGTTCCTTCAGGGAGGCAGGAAACACTTTTTTCTCCTTCCTTTTGGCGCCTTGGGAATAGCCCCGCCTCTCAGTTCAGGGACTCCGCCAGCAGTAACAAACACTAACTAGGTAACTTCCCTGTAAATAAACTTCAAAATTAGAACTATATTACATACCACCCCCAACTGTCAAACAGAGAGGGTAGGATAGACGAAGGATCGCAGCATATGCAGAGGGAAGAAAAGTTTTTAGCTCCAGCAACAAGAGTTATGAAAAGAAAAAATAGAGAGACGAAGATGAGAATGAAGAATGGGAGGGCCGAGATGTCCTCCTGTCCTCAGAGGAGAAGGACCCCTCACGGTAAGTGTCCAAGGGCCGTTCTCCCTCTGAGGCGGAGGACATCTCCATTGGGACCTCCCAAAGCAGTGTCCCCTATTATACGGGTGGGTTCTCATCTTCATCTGTTGCATCCAAAATGTGCTGGAGCACTCGTCTTCCGAAAGCTGCATCAGCTGATGCGAAAATGTTCAATTTGTAATGGCGAACAAACGTTGAAATTGAGGACCATGTCGCTGCTCGACAGAATTCATCCACTGATGCCCGATTGTCCAACGCTGCATTGGTTGACGCACTTCTTAAGGAATGCGCTGTGATTCCTTTTGGGATTTCCAGACCCCCGGCCTTGTATGCCTCGACAATACAAGATTTGAGGACCTTGCTGATGGATGACTTAGACATCCGTTCACCTCGTCTTGGTTGTGAAATATTAATGAACATATAGTCTGTCTTTCTTATTGACTCAGTTCTAGAAATGTAAATTTTTAGCGACCGTCTGACATCCAACGTGTGCCAAACCCTTTCCGTAGCATGGGTGGGGTTCGGACAGAAGGTTGGGAGGTAGACTTCCTGAGATCGGTGAAAAAGAGAAGACACCTTAGGCTGAAACGTTGGATCGGTTCGTAGGACGACTTTGTCCTTATGAAAAATGCAGAGTGTAGACCTTATAGAAAAGGCATTAATTTCCGAGACGCGTCGAGCAGAAGTGATGGCCACCAGGAAAATGACCTTCATCCTTAACCAACGCAAATCCACCTCCTTAAGGGGCTCGAAAGGAGCTTTGGTGAGTGCTGAGAGAACCGTGTGGAGCTTCCACGTCGGAAAGCGATGAATCTGTGGAGGAGATTTGACGGAAGCGCCCTGAAGAAACAACAGGATATGTGGATGTTTAGAAACCTTGTATCCCCCCATCAGGGGAAGTACCGTGGCGAGGGCTACAGTTTGTCTCCGAAGTGTGGAAGGCTTCAGTCCTGATTCTAGGCCATCCTGTAAGAAGGACAACACTGAAGCTATAGATGGAGATAGTGCTGCTACCTTCTTACGTTTGCACCACCGCACAAACACAGCAGTAGAAGCCCGGGAGCAAGTGTTATTTATGTGTTATCCCATCTTTCTCCCCCAAAATAGAGTAAAAATAGTTCAGCAGTGGAATCAACTGCCTAGGGAGGCGGTGAGTTCCCCCTCACTGGCAGTCTTCCGGACGAACACTTGTCGGGGATGCTCTAAGCTGATCCTGCATTGAGCAGGGGGTTGGGCTAGATGGCCTGTATGGCCCCTTCCAACTCTGTGATTCTATGAAATCCAAAGCAGCTCACCCCCCCAAAAAAATCCATCAATAAAACAGTTATTAAAGCCAACAACCCTATAGGATGTTATTTTTAATCCTAATATCAGTGACCTTAATCCCAACTGCAAAGAAATGTAAAAGTCTGATAGCTGGACTGGTCCGCTTTCCATACAGAAGCTAACAATGCAATCCTAAAAAGAGTTACACCCTTCTAGATCTACTGAAATCAACCAGTTTAGAATGTTTAGGATTGCCTGTGATACTTTTCAACACCTGGAAGTAAACACTGTGGTGTATCGCTACAGCGTCCATCAGCAAGATCCAGGTTCAAATCCCCTCTCTGTCGTGAAGTTACTCTCTCACCTTTCCTACCCTGCAGAGTTGTTGTGAGGAGAAATTAGCAAGGGAACGGGACAGAGCTTCTAGAAGGAAGGGTGGGATTTAAAGGAATGTACTAGATAGATGAACTAAATGAAATCCCACAAGTGACGTCACTCTCTAGGAATCGCCAGAAACTCTGTGGTAAAGCCATAGGGTTTTCAGTGATTCCTAGAGAGAACTATGGTTTTACCATAGATGGATGGATGCTTTTTCTCTGTATTCAGCTACCACTTCAAGAGTCTGAAGATCTGTTTAAGTGGTGGGGAGCCAATAAACCCTGAAACGATGGAACACTGGAAGGCCCAGACAGGACTGGAGATCCAGGAAGGCTATGGGCAGACTGAGACTGTATGTCGATACATGATTATTTGCACATTGCAGGCAGCAAAATATCACCGGGGGTGGGGGGAATAATAAACTGCTGTGAGATTATTGTAGCATGCTGGAGTAAGATAAGAAAGAAATTCTAACCTAACCCTTAATTCAAGGGTTACATGCTGCAGGGAAGAATTTGGGAAGATCCAGGGCTATTTTTGGGCAGGAACGCCCAGGAACGGAGTTCCCGCTGGCTCCTGAGTTGGCCACACCCAGCAGGAACTCATTAGCATAACAGGCCACACCCAACAGCAGAAACTCATTAGGATTGGCTACAGTAGGCGTGTGTGGCCTAACATGCAAAGGAGTACCTGCTACAAAAAAAAAGGCCCTGGGTTTTGACAACAAACAAGGTAAACAGAATAAGAAGCAAAAGGTGGGTGTGGCAGGATGACCACACTTCTGGCAATAGGGGGCTGCGACCTAATATGCTAATGAGCTGTGGTGTCAGGGTGTGGCCTATTATGCTAATGAGTTCCTGCTGGGCTTTTTCTACAAAAAAAGCCCTGGGAAGATCCATTTGTGATCTTCTTCCAATGTGCCATCTAGTTTGATCTCTGATAAAGCTGTTTGTTACATTCACAAAAATTCCAGTGTGGAAGATCGCCACCACAAGAATAGAAGCATTTGATTGATCAGACCCTTTGGCAGCCATATGATTGACTGATTGATTATGGTCAATGACCAGGGGGAAAAAACCACAATAAACATTCAGATTTTAAAAATGCAATACTACAAATCTATATACTAAGAGCCCTAATTACAGCCATATGAGAAACAACATGCTTGTGCTGGGTTTGCCAACTTCCAAGTGGGCCTGGAGATCTCCCAGAATTAGAACTGATCTCTAGCCGGCAGAGATCAGTTAACCTGGAGAAAATGGCAGCTTTGGGGAAGTGGACTGTATGGCGTCTCGTCCCTGCTGAGCCCGCTCTCCTACCTCCCCCCCCACACACACACACACTCCCAAGTCCCTAGGAAGTTCCCCACCTAGAGTTGGCAACTCTGCTGCCCACACCTGCCTTTTATTTTTCACAGACCATGCTATGTGCGACGTTGACAGGGATGCAAGTCAAGCCAGGTTTCATGGGAAAGCCATGCGCACCCTTCGATGTCCAGGTTGGTACTTGCAGAATAAGCAGAACATTGGTGATCAGAATAAGCAGAACATTTGTGATCAGAATAACACACGTAAGGCACTTTAAGATGAAATGGCATCACTTCTCTTTCCATTAAAGCACAAACATGCTACAAAAGAGACTGAAAGAAACCGCTTGAATGTCGAACCGACAGCTCTTCTTCTTTCTAGGTGATCAATGAACACGGGAATCCCCTGCCTCCTGGGGAGGAAGGAGACATTGCTGTCAGGATCAAACCTAAGAGGCCATTGGGTCTCTTCACCAACTATGTGGTAAGAAAGAACCAGGCTTATATGGGAAAGTATTTTCACTAAAGAAGGGGGAGACAGTGGGGCAGTAACCCTCAACATAGTGTCCACAGGTTCCTTGGTGCCCTCCAATGGATTTCCTGGTGTCCCACTTGCTTCTTCCCCAAAGCAAAGAGCCATTTCTGGCTCTCCTTCGCCTTACTGGAGCAGGAGGTATTTCACAAGACCCCAGAAGGCATCACCTGTCTTATAGGGAGTGCTCAGTTGGAAAAGGCTGCCCCCCCATCCTAGGAAGATGCTTGGCTTGGCACCTTTCCACATTTTGTAACTGGCCCCCATGGCGGCCATTTTGTGTCTGGTCCCACCTTCTATGGCAGCCATTTTGTGGCAGTGTCTACTTTTTTGCCATCAAGTGACTTATGGCAACCCTGCAGGGTTTTCAAGAGAAGAGACGTTCAGAGGTGGTTTTGCCAGTGCCTGCCTCTTCCTTGCAACCCTGGTATTCCTTGCTGGTCTCCCAACCAAATGCTAGCCAGGGCTGACCCTGGTTAGCATCTGAGATCTGACAAGACCAGACTAGCCTGGGATATCCAGGTCAGGGTGCAGTGGTCACTACCCTCCCTCAAACTTCCAAAAGCATCCACAGGCTCAGCAAGGTAACCGAGACTCAAAGGGCAAGCCGGACAAAATGCCGCTGGGAGGTCCAAATTTGGAGATTCAAAGCTTTCTTACAGTCGGAAATAGCAGCTATAAGGAGCCTCGGGTCGGAAAAGTATCTATCAGTAATAGAAAGAGAGTGAACAATGAAACGGTATTTGACTGTTTATATGACGACAGCTGCAAGAATCTTATATGCCAAATATTGGAAAACTATGTTGATACCAACGAAACAGGAGTTTGTGAATAAACTTTTTGAAACAGCAGAAAATGATAAACTGACTTTAGAAATGAGACTAAGCAAAGAGTGAACATTTCAAAAACATGGAAAAAGTTTTATGATTGGTATAAGGTAAATATAATAGAAGATTAGGCAATTATAGCACATTGGACTTGAGAACACAGAAGACAGAAGAATGGGAAGTATCTGATAGACCATTTTTATTAATAGAGCATTTTTATTATATTAATAGAGCATTTTTATTAATTAAGTAATTGGATATAAACATACGATGTAACTGTACTCTTGGTATATATTTTATGTGTAGTAGAGTGTCTGTTTATAGTGTGTAGATTTGTTTGTTGTAGATTATAAAAGAAAAATTAATAAAAGTGTACCTATGGGTACTTTAAAAACAAACAAACAATGAAACGGTATTCTCTCTGTCTCAAAACAGTAGAAATGTGTGATCGTCCAAAGAAAACTGACTGGCAATTGCTCCCAGAGAGACAAAAAGAAGTACTCATTATGTGCCGGATAACTCACAGAATTCACGGTCAGCAGAGAGGACTTTCAAAAAGAACTTGTTTTAAAAGATCAGTTCAGAGTCCTGCCTTCAGCCGTTACTCCATTTAGTGCGAGGATCCCTGGCAGGCTTTCCAGCCACAGCTGGTTCTGCAGGTGTTGCTAGGATCAGATTGCACTGGCTCATACCTTCCCTCTTCTCCAGCAGGTGGCTACCCTGCATTGAGAATGGTAATAGTGAGTTCACTCTCAGATTGTTCTAAAGAGTGTAGCAAGGAAGAGGACGTTACCTATCATTTGTGCTTTTGATGTGTATGCCACACAAGAAGAAAGGGCCCTGTACCAAGGAGCTTACAATCTCACATTTGAGACAAAACCCTGGGAGAAGAGGGAATAAACAGAGGAAGAGTCTGTGTTCATTCCAGTGACGCACACAGCCTGATTTCAGTGCGACACTGGCGAGAGGCAAAAGAACACCCTGCCCACCTCCCAGCCAGCAACCTTGCACCCGGCTCCAGGTCCCATTTGAACTACTGCACAAAATAGCTGTACGTGCTTTGTCAGCAGGGCAGGAAGCTCTCCGCATAATGCTCCGTGTGACCACAGCCAAAATAAGCAGTTTAAGCAAGACTTTGAGCATATGCAAAGTTGCATGGGGAATCTCTGTTGCTTTGCCAGTAAGCTTCACATTTAAACTGGGCTTAACTTCCAGTGCCGGGTGGGACTAACAGGTTGTGCCTGCCAAAGCACTACGGAAAAGAGGGATGGATGTAGAAGAGTGATTTGAAAGACACACAAGTGTTCAGAGAGGTAGTTCCCAGCATTAAATAGATAAGCCCATGTGTGCGAGCCAGACTTCAAGAAGCCATTTCATTGTTTTTCAGGATGATCCAGAGAAAACAGCCTCAACAGAGCGTGGGGACTTCTACATCACTGGGGACAGAGGACTTGCGGACGAAGATGGATATATCCATTTTATTGCACGAGCTGATGACGTTATCTTATCTTCTGGGTACGCAATTTCTTAACAGTTTGCCTAACTTGTAGTGAGCCTGTCACCAGTATTGGCAATGTAGAAGTTAAAATGCAATCGTGATGTGCCAGTGTTGGCTATGATCCTGTGCCACCACTAACATGAAGACAGATTCCATTGACAGAAATGGGACTCACCTGCGCTTAAAAAAAGAAATGGAATCCGGGAGTTAATAAACAGGCACAGGATCATGATACAGAATCATAACCTCGCAGTCAATCTTTTGCATGCATGATTCCTTCAGCCAATGGTAAGGAAACACAAAAAGCACAGAGAAATAACTTGGTTGGACCCTATTGGCCCATTACTATGATTGACGTACAACTCTGCCTATCACAAGGTGATGTACAACTCTGTCTATCACAGGGTATTATTTCAGAGGTGCTCCAGCCATGTTGCTAGGCTGACAGGGCTATTTTTGGGCAGGAACGCACAGGAACGGAGTTCCGGCTGGCTTCAGAGTTGGCCACGCCCACTACAGCCAAAACCTCTGTGTGCGTAGCTACAGAGGGAAGGCCTGGAGAGGGACCCCCCCCCCGGCGACTCTGAGGCAGGTGGGCCAGTGGGGCCCCTGGAAGGATCGGGGAGGCATTTAAATGCCTCCCTGTGCCTTCCCCAGCCTGTCCAAGGGCCGGCTTGCCTGGGCTCCCCGCAGCCACTGCCTTCCCTTCCCTTCAAGGGGCACCCGGGCAAGCCAAGGGAAGGCATGGGGATGTGGCCTAATATGCTAATGGACTGTGTTGTCATGGGTGTGGCCTATTATGCTAATAAGTTCCTGCTGGGCTTTTTCTACAAAAAAAAAAGCCCTGGCTAGCATATTCCCGATCTCTAAAAAGACAGTAGTCTTAAGGGATCCGGCGAAGAAGAAGAAAGTGAGAGTTGGTCTGGAGGCAGTAGTTAAGGACTCAGACACAAGTATTAATGGTATTCTACCACCAGCCCTGACCTGGGTGGCCCTGGCTAGCCCGATTCTGTCAGATCTCAGAAGCTAAGCAGTGTCAGCCCAGGCTAGTATCTAGATGGGAGAACACCAAGAAAGTCCAAGGTCGCAACACACAGGCAGGCAGTTCGCAGGGGTCGTTTCGTAGAAAAAGAGCTAGGGGAACTCATTAGCATAACTCATTAGCTTATGCCACACCCCCTGACATCACCGGAAGTGTGTCATAAGGCCACACGCCCCGCCCCCAACGGTCCCGGCCGCCGCCGCCGGCCTTGCAGCTCCACTGCCGAGCCCCATGAGGGGCCCGGCGGTGGACCTGCAAGGCCGGCGGGAGTGCAAGGAAGCCCCGCCAAGGCCCTCCCTAGCCGCAGGCAGGCAGGGGTGGGGAGAGGCAGGGAGGAAGCAACTTACCCTCCCTCTTCTCCTGCCTCCTCCTGGCTGAATGAGGGCCGGAAGCGGGGCCGCCGGAAGCAGGGGGCGGGGCTTCGTCATGTGCCCCGCCCCTGTACCTCACCCGGGGGAACTGCGATCCCCCGCGATCCCCCCCGAAATGACCTCTGGCAGTTCGTCTCTTGCTTCAAAAACCGTACAGGGTTGCTTGCCATTCCTCAGCTCAGACTTGATGGCGCTTTCCACCACCAGCAGCTGGTTAATGCTGCCCCAAAGATGAGTCAGTGGGCACCAGGCTCTTCCTGTGGGCTCACGGACCAATTTGTATGTAATTTTCCCTTACCCAAGCAAAACGTTCATACCTGGGGGGGGGGCTTCTGTTCTATTTTTGACAATAGAATTTCCCCCCCCAACAAGGATATTACCCTGCTCAGCAAAAACCACATAACTAGTTCATCCTCATTAACTACATTCACCCAGATTTCCTCTCTCCTACTGTTGCTCCACCCAAATCCCTCCCTGTAACTCTTCAGGGAACTCCATCTGGCTAAGTTTAGTTTACAATAAGTTAAAATGATACTTTAACAAGGAAGCGAACATGAACAGCACACTCCTAAGAACCCTGTCCTGGGACTAAGCGTCATCGAACAGACCTGGGAAAGTTTCTGAGCAGAACTGATTGGCTTGTGATCCCAAGCAGGTCTACCCAGAATCCTGCTCTGGTCTATCCGATGGGGCTTATTCCCCGGACAGTGTTTTTAGGCTCACACAGTTAGCTATTCAGACAATTCAGGCTTTTTTTTCTGGGGGGACGCGCCGGAATGGAGTCCCGGAACCTCTTCGGCAAAATTCTTTTCAAAAGAATTTAAAAGTTCGTGAGTTTTCAGTATACAAATTGAAAACATCATTTCCCTCTTGAGAGTTCCGACACCTCTTTTTCCAAAAGAATAAAAGCCCTGAATCTATCCCCCAGAATGAGAACAGATTCAGGGGGATAGCCAGGGGTCATTTCGTAGAAAAAGAGGTGCAGAAGCTCATTAGCATAACTCATTAGCATAACTTATTTGCATATGCCACACTCCCTGACATCACCGGACGTGTGTCAGAAGGCAACACCCACCGCTCAGGCACCACTGGACTGTCTTGGATTGCTAGCTATTGAGGGAAGGGAAACATGCAGATCTGTCCTCACAGAGGAGGGAGAGCTAGTACCTGAATAAAACTTG